TATACCGTTCATCTCTCCTTCCCTAAAACCATTCAACCTTGCTTCCACTAGTAAGGATGACTTTTGGGTCTCTAAATCCTACTTTAATCCTTTACTTCATTTGGATGAAGATGTCCAGGAGAAGGAACCTGATCTTACCCCCCTCTACTGTCACTCTGATGGTCATACAGAAGATAGGCCTTTTGACACCTCTGAGATTAGGCCTCTCGCTATGGACACCTCTCACTGCAGCCCCAATTCACTACCTTTCCAGAAATTCAGACGGTCTTCTTTGCCCCGTCAAACTCACAACATGGAGACCCAAAGCAAATCCAGTAAGAAAGTCTCTTGGCAGGTTTCACAATGAAGTTTATGTTTTGGAACGTCTGCGGGGTGTCCTCTTCCCTTGACAGACTTTGTTCCCTTAAGAGGATTCACAACCCTTCCTTTCTCTGCATCATTGAACCTAAGGTCTCTGCTTCACAACTCCCTGCCTACAGCCTCAAGTTGGGATTTCCCAACCATTTGTCGTCTAACAGCAATAAAAGATGGATGTTTTGGGACCCCAACCAACTACTCTTCATTAGTGCTGAGGACGAAGATCAGGTTTCTCACTGCCTTTTCTCCCTCCCTCATTCCCCATCCTCCACCATTCTTATCTCTTGTATTTATGGTTCTCATACGGTGGTGGAACGCCGGAATTTATGGAGAAACCTTCAACACAAAAGCAGCCTTTCCTCGTGTTGGGTGGTCGGGGAGGATTTTAATGTGATCTCCTCCCTTAAGGAAAGCAAAGGTCAGATTTGCCCAAACACTCAAGGCATGGATGAATTTAATTCTTGCATTGAATCCTGCAATCTACTCTGCCCGGAACCCTCTGGAGGTCTTTTTACTTGGAGTGGCATTAGAAGCTCTGGGAAACTTTGGCGTAGGCTTGATCGTATTCTGGTTAACCTTTCCTTCCAATCCACCTTTAGTGCTTTTGAGGTACAACATCTCCCTAGAGCTTGCAGTAACCACAAAGCCCTCCTTCTTTCTTGCTCGGTCAACAGTGATAAAGGCCCATCAGCTTTCAGATTTTTAAACCCTTGGATCCACCACACAAATTTCATTTCAATTGTCAAGGAATGCTGGACCAAAATGCCTACTGTTGGCGGTAGGCATGGACTTATAGCCAAACTCAAGGGTCTCAAATCCTGTCTCAAGGCTTGGAACAAGGATGAGTTTGGTCATATTTTCGATAACCTCAAGAATGCTGAAATTTATGCCACTACCACCCAGCAGCTATATGAAGATAACCCAACGAAGGCCAGCCGTGTAACAGCACGGGAAGCTAACGCCAGGTTGCTCCTTGCTAGCCACAAAGAAGTTGTCTATTGGAAGCAAAAAGCAAATGCCAAATGGCTAGAACATGGGGATATGAATTCCAAGGTGTTCCATGCTTTCGCCAATGGCAAGAAAAGGAAGCTTGCTATCAATCATATCATTTCTCCTACTGGTATTGGGCTCTCAGACAGTTCCCAGATTCGTGATGCGGCAATAACCCATTTTTCCAAACAGTTCCTGGCCCCTGCCGAACCACCCCCCTTGCACAACCTATCCCATTTACCTTCCCTCCTTTCAGACGAGGACAACACCATGCTTACTGCCCTCCCCACCTTGGAGGAGGTCAAAAATGCTATTTGGAATCTGGACAGCAACAGTGCCTCAGGACCTGACGGCTACAACGGGGTTTTCTTTAGAACCACTTGGGATATCATCAAGGAAGATATGCTTAAAGCCTCCCAAGAGTTCTTCTTAGGGTTCGCCATCCCCCATGCTTTTGGAAGCA